CCTTCACCCTCTTATTTCTTTATAAATTTAGAAGACTTTTATTCCCTTCTGAATGTATATATTGTTCTCTCTTTAACCCAGATCTGTTGTGAGTAGGGTTTCTCTAAAAAATCCCTTCCTTATCTTCTCCCCCATTTCTATCCCTTCAGTCTTTTATTTCTTTGTGAATTTAGATTTCTATACCATTCTAGATATATATGTATTGTTCCCTCTCTAACTCATTCCTGATGAGAGTAGGGTTCCAGAACTACCAGCCCTCCTCCCCCATCTAATTCCTCTGTGTCAGTTCTGCCTCTCAAACTTCATTTACATAAGATAATTACTTTTTACCTTTTCCTAGACAGTACTACTTTTTAGAATCATATCATACTCAACTCTACCCCAATTTTTCTTTCAAACTACCCAATTACTAATTACAATCTTAGACATACAATTTTCATTTCCTTGTATGAAAAATAAACAGTCTGTTCTTATTGAGACCCTTGTAATTAGTTTTTGATGTTTACCTTATATTTCTCTTGGATCTTGTATATTAAATTTTCTATTGAGTTAAGGTCTTTTTGCAAAAAAATCCTGAAAGTCTGGCAATTCATTGAATGTCCATTTTTTTTTTTTCCACTCAGGATTATGCTTAACTTTGTTGGGTGTGAAATTTTTGGCTGCAACCCCAATTCTTCTCCTCTTTGATATATAGTGTTCCAAGACATGCAATCTTTTAGTGTAGCCACTGCTAGGTCCTATGTGATTCTAATTGTGACTCCACCACATTTGAATTGTTTTTTTCTTGTTTCTCATATTTTCTGCTTGAGCTAAGGGTTTTGGAATTTGACTATGATATTCCTGTAGGTTTTCCTTATAGGATCTCTTTCAGATGGTGATCAGTGTATTTTTTTCTGTTTCTACTTTCCCCTTTCATTCTAATGCTTCAAGACAATTTTCTTTAATTATTTCTTGCATTATTGTATTAAGATTCTCTTTTTGGTTTTGGGGTTTTTGTTTTTGGTTTTGGTTTTTTTGGTGAGGTAGTCAGGGTTAAGTGACTTGCCCAGGGTCACACAGCTAGTGAGTGTCAAGTGTTTGGTCTGAGGCCAGATTTGAACTCAGGTCCTCCTGACTTCAGGCCTGGTGCTCTATCCACTGCACCACCTAGCTGCCCCAAGATTCTTTTTTTCGTCATAACTTTCAGGTAGTCTGAATATTGTTATGCTTTCTCTTCTTGACCTGTTCTCTAGATCAGTTGTTTTTCTTATGAGATGTTTCACATTCTCCTCTATTTTTTCATTCTTTACATTTTGTTTTATTATTTCTTGATCTCTTATAACTTCACTGGCTTCCCCCTGCCGAATTCTAAATTTCAAGGAGTCATTTTCTTCCTTAAAATTCTGATCTCCTCTTCCAATTGATTAACTTTCTTTTCATAATCTTCTTGTTTTTCTTGGATTGTTCTTATTTTTTTATTTTTCCTCAGTCTCTCTCATTTGATTTTTAAAGTATTTTTTAAGTTCTTCTATAAATTCTTTTTGGGCAGGTGACCATTTGACATTACTCTTTGTGGTAGGAGGGGCTTTTTTTTTTTGCTTCAGTATCCTCCTCTGAACATGAACCCCAGTCTTCTCTATTCCCATAATAACTTTCTATGGTTTGGTTCTTTCTCCTTTTCTCTTCGCCTTTCTCCTGCTCTTTTTAAAAATTCATTTATAGCAACTTGTTGCAATCACCTCTAGTCCTGGGGCATGGAGGATGGTGGCTTTGGCCTCAGGTCCTCCTTCAGTTCTCCCTCTGCCCTGGAACCAAAATCAAGAACAACACCCTCCTATAAGTGCCCACAGTAAGCAGCATCCCCACCCCACTGCTTCTGCACTCACCTGGCATGTGGTGGTTCCTCCTTGCCCAGGGCTGAATCTCAGCAGCACAACTGAGCCTGGTGTTCCTTCAGCAGAGGTTCCCTCAATCTTCCCTTGCTCGGACACCTGACTCCCTACACTGTCCAAGAGGTGAAAATTTCTGTGGCGGTGGCTGTGGTCAAGGCTACCTCCCAACCCAGCTAGCCCCAGGGTTCACTGCTTGCTGTTTCAGTGGAACTAGCCTAGAGGTATTTACACTTCACAGATTTTCTTCTGATCTTCTCCAGTTGTCCCAGGAACACTATTGTTCTACTGCAACCCTTGTTTATTTTTACCACTGTACATTAGCCCTGAAGCATTATTTTGTCTTTTTTGTGGGGAAAATCTGAAGAGCTTGGAATTTTCTAACTTATTCTGCCATCTTCTCAGAATTCTCTCCATTAACTTTCTTGATTGACACATCACATTAATTGAATTCTCAGTACATAAAAAAATTAGATCTTTTTCAGATAAACTCTTATGTAGCTATACCAGTCACATCTTTTTCTTATCAAGTTAAATTTTTTATATTTGTTGGGAGACAGGTTTTGCACTGTCCAGAAGAAAGAACAGCACCAAATAGCTTGGTTCCTGGTAGACTTAAAAACAGCAAAGGAAGGAATGTGGGCCAGCAGAGGGTAGGACAATGACCTTGACCTCTTACCTTACTTTTGTTCTTGCTAACGCATCACAGGACACAAATATTCTTTGCAATGCCCCTAAAAGCTGTGAGTCTTCACTTAAAAAAGATATCCCTTCATCCAAAGGGAGCCTGCACTTCTAGTGGCATGCCAATCCCAAAGGATCTAGTAACAGAGCTGCCCTTCAAGTCTCCTGGCCTCTATACAACTCTTGTATTTTGCTTTTGTTTTCAGCAGTTACCAAAATGGGTTTTCAGAAAGGAAAGAGAAAAATGAGGAAGGAAGGAGGGAAGAATTTATTAAACACCTACTATGTTCCAGGCACTGTGCTAAGCACTTTTTAAACATTATATCATTTTTCTCACAACTACCCTAGGAGGTAGGTGCTATTGTTATGCCCACTTTGCATCTGAGGAAACTGAGACAGATAGAGATTTTTGCCTAGGGTTACATAGCTAGTAAGTGTCTGAAGCTAGATTTAAACTCAGATCTTCCTGCCTCCAGGCACAATACTCTATTGACTATGTCATTTGATTCTAAGGCATAGGACTTTCCTTGGGATTTAAAATGGGAGTTACAAGGAATTTTCTTGCCCTATGTCAGATATGTCAGATAGCAAAGCACATAGGTGGTTCAGTGGATAGAATGTGGGACCTGGAGTCAGGAAGACCTGAGTTCAAATCTGGCCTCAGACACTGGGCAAGTCATTTAACCTCTGTTTACCTTAATTCACTGGAGAAAGAAATGGCAAAGCACCCCAGGATCTTTGCCAAGAAAATCCACTATGGAGTCAGACATGAATGAACAACAACAAAATGTAAGATAGTTGTCCAGTACAATGAATGAATAGCAGATCCAAATAGTCATGAGACCAGACAATCTTGGCATGGCACACTACAACTGACTTTTGTCTGGCAGCCCTTATCTAGGTATGATGGCTCGTAATCCCAGCACCTCTTTGATAAAAGCAATGTCATCTTGCCCTGGTCAGAAAGAGGCTTTCTAATCACTGAACTTTAACAGATCAGATCGTAGAAGACCATCAGATATCTGTATAGAAATGAAACCCAGAAGCTAGCAGCAGAAAGGAGCAGTGGCTACAAAGACGAATAGAGCAATATCCCCATAAAGGCAATGGATCCAGGAGAGAGCAGAGACATCTCTTACCAAAGACAAAGCAGCCAGAGGAGAGCAGAGATGTGACACCCACTAGGTATATCAGCTAACAGCATGATGACCCTCTCCAGAGGACATATCTATTTCTGAAGCCCTAAGGGTATTAGGGAGCCCTTCAACATGTGTTCCTTGACCACACAGGATCATGACATGAGCTGTTAAATGAATGTTTCCTGGCTAAGCCAGTTGCCTCCATGTGTACCCTCCAGGCCTATTTCCTAGCCCTTCATATGTATTCCCTAGATACCATGTTCTGAGTGCGTGTGTGTGCATGTGTGTGTGTGTGTGTGTGTGTGTGTGTGTGTGTGTGTGCTTTCCTCCTTATTATAACTTGTGGAAGAGTATACTCAGTGTACCCAATGTGGTGTGCATACAAGGATAGGCAGGAATCTTTTCTTGGCACTTAATTTTTCATGTCATTGGATAAATTATCATTTTAAAATGAATCTGTCCATGGGATGGTTGGTAAAAGTAACCACTCCAGTGGAAGCTCATGAGCCTCCTTGTGTGGATACAGATACCCACCCACCCCTCCATCCCCAGGCCTGGAATCTGAGGTAGCTTTTGGTGGGGAAGACTTGTGTAAGAAGGGATTCCCCAGATGCTACGTGTTTTTTTCCTATTAAATTTCATTTTATTTTATTCATCCCAGTGTTCTAGCCTGTCGAGGTTTTTGGGTTGAATCTAATAAATTAAATACAAAATCTTACACCTGGGATCCAAAAGTATATTTCATAAATATAGAAGGGAGGCATGAATCCAGTGTGTCTAGAAAGAAAGGAGTGTGTCTAGAAAAGATCTGTGGGATTTGATGGACTATAAGTGCAGAATGCATTGGTAGGGTAATAGGTCAGGCAAAACCAGCTCTGAGAAAAGTGTCAAGTAGGGTGTTTGACTAAACCAGAACAGCTACCAGTCCATAAGGCAAGTTTTCTTAAGTGAGCTGAGGGAGAGCAGAAAGCTAATCCTGGAACAAAAGGTCAACCACTTTCTCTTGATTTTAGTACAAATACAGACCATGAAAGCTGTGCCTACTAACCTTAACTAAAAAGTCAATAATACACTAATCCAAGAATGTGTAAATGACAGGAGGAGTCATTAAATAATGCAAGCCAACAGAGTCACTGTATAGAAATCACTGAATTTAATGTGTCTGTCTGTGGTATAGAAGGAGCCATCTCATGAGTTCTTTTCAGGTGGGAATGAGTGACCAATATGAGGGATGGCATAAAGCCCTTGTATTTCTCTCCAGGGTCCCCCAAGCTCAGACTGAAATTCTTCTGCTCAGGACACCAAGAACATGATGCCTACGAACATGCTGTTGGGCACTGCCTTCTTCTTCCAGACAGGAATCAGGGTTCAGGGAAACTTCTTTCTAATTTATCTCTTCAGCTTCCTTTTCTTCACTGGCCAGAAGCTGAGGCCCATCGATCTGATTCTCACTCAGCTGGCTTTGGTCAACTCCTTGGTGCTTCTCTCTAAGGGCTTCCTTCAGGGATTGGCAGCTTGGGGTCTGAAGAATGTTCTAGATGACATGGGCTGTAAAATTGTCTTCTACCTTCACAGAGTAGCTCGTGAGCTCTCCCTCAGCACAATCTGCCTCTTGAGTGGTTTTCAGGCCATCATCATCAGTCCCCACCACCCCTGGTGGATAAAGCTGAAAGCCAAAGTCCAAAGATACATTATACCCTCTATTCTCCTCTACTGGATTTTCCACATGCTGCAAAATATTGTTATTCTTGAGAAACTCAGAGGGCCAAGGAGCACTGGAAACATCTCAGAAATAAAAGAGTATGAATACTGCTCTGTCAATACCACTACTGATAATAGTGCCTCATTGCATGCAGTTGTGTTCTCCCTCCCTGATGCTGTGTGTATGACCTTCGTTAGCTTTACCAGTGCCGACAAGGTTAATCTCCTGTACAAGCACCACAAGAGAGTTCAGCAGCTTTGCACTGACAGCTTTTCCTGGAGAGCCTTCCCTGAGGCCAGAGCCACCCAAATGATCCTACTGCTTATGAGCACCTTTATCATTTTTTACTTCCTCAATTCCTTCTTGATAGGATATATGCATGCCATGACACCTAAACCCTGGCTGGTGGACATCTCTGCCTTCTTGGCTTCCTGTTTTCCAATGGTTAGCCCTTTTGAGGTAATCAGCACAACAAATCCTGAGGTACTACAGGGCTATTCATGGTAGAAAAAGTCCACATGCTGAATGACTACAGTAATACTCAGTCCCTAATGTCTTCCCGGGCTCTTGTCAAGGAGGAAACATCACTGGAAGACATTAAGCTAGAAGTGTGAAAACAGATCCAGGAGTCATGTAGCTATTTGGACTAGCTCCAATTTCACAGAAAAGGGACAGCTGGGCATCCGTTAAAGGCACTGGTAATGGGGTCAGGGCTTGAATTCAAGTAGAAGGCACCTGTCACTACTCTCGCTAGAATCTCAGATCATTAGGTTGGTAAAGGCATAAGACCCTATCTAGTCTAATGCATACCAAAACAGGAATACCATTTGCAACAGCCATAACTAGTGGTCTTCCCTCTTTAAGCACCTTCATTTAAAGATCTTCCTTTCTCTCAAGGGGCACCCCTTACCATTCATTTTTAAGTTTTTCCTTACCTCCAGCACCAGTCTGGTTTTCTGCAACTTTGAAGGGACCACCAGGCAAAACTTTCATCCATTTTTCCTCATTCGTTCCTCAGGAGAAACATAGGTTCCATCTAATCCCTCTTGCACATGGCACCAATTGAAATACTTGAAGAAAACTATGTCTCTCCAAGCCTTATTTCCTGTGTAATCCTTGGCTCAAAGGACCAATTTCATGGGTCTCTTTCATCATTGGTAGAGATTAATTATTCAATGCTCTGCCCCTGTATGAAGAGCAGGCAAAGTTGGTGAGAGCAGGAGAGAAGAGAAATCTGGGCTACTCTGGCTTCTAGCTTTGAAGAGAAGGAAACAGAAGGAAATAAGAAGTTATTAAATACCCTCTATGTGCCTGGTACTGTGCTAAGCATTTTACAAATATCTCATTTGAACCTCACAATAACCCTGTGAGGTAATTGCTATCATTCCTCTCATTTTACAACTGAGGAAACTGAGACAGACAGAAGTCAAATAACTTGCCCTGAGTCATACAGATAGTAAAGATGTGAGGTCAAATTTGAATTCAGGTCTTTCTGAATCTAGGTCCAATTCTGTACTCACTATGCCACCTACCTGCCCAATAAAGAAGGAAATTATCATTTATTAAGCACCTACTATGTGCCACGCATTGCAGTAAACACTTTACAAATATTCTCTCATCTGAGAGAGAAGATTCACCATCGCGACTTCTCTTCAAGCCCCTTAAGGGAGAAAAAGCCTCCGGTTAGACAATTGAGGAGATGTCAGTCTCTAATACCCCTGTTCCCAGCTTGCTGTTCTAGATACTTTGGAGAATTTCCCCTCGGGTGAGATCTGAGACTTTCTCTCTTCATTAAGCTGAGTTATTTCACTCCCGATGGGACAGTGCATTCACTCTGTCTTATCTGGTATATGCTCTCCTACATTCGCTTTCTGACGTCTGCTTTGACATCAACGAGGGTGAATGGATTTATTTGCTATCCACTATGTGTATTCATTGCAGAGCTGACATTTTGGTAGAAAAGAAGTCATGTAGCTTGGGGCGCTTCTTTCTTGTTAAGGAGGTGATCAGGAGTGCAGCCTGAAACCTAGAAATGCTTTTTCAGGTTTTTTCAGTCATGTCGGGCTTTTCATGACCCCATTTGGGGTTTTGTTGGCCAAGATACTAGAGTGGTTTGCCATTTCCTTTTCAAAGAAATTACTAACCCTAGACTAACAATATTGAAGGGAGCAGATAGATGTAATTCTACCCTAGTGCCCCCTCTCCCTAAGGACAGCAGAGTACTAACCTCTTGGCCCAACCTCTTGCTTCCCTTCCTGGCAAGAATCAGTTTTCCTTGAAGAAGGAGAGGAAGAAGAGATTGAAATATCTATTCTTGCCTCCCTGAAAGCCATATCTAGACAGAGTCATGTGGGCACATATAACCTACATGGGCAAAAATGAAAGAATACCCCACATACCGCCCTTTACATCTGCAACATCCCTATTTCCTCCAATGATCCTTATATGCCATGGTCTACATTAAACTTACAGCCCTGGACAGCCTCCCTAGGACTACATCTTCTTGCCTATCATTTTGCCAACATAAGGAACTGTTAGTGAGGAATTGTCCCTATTAATGCAGATTGGCACCTGCCCTGTGACTTATAATCTTGGAGGGTTGCCTGGGGCACTGAGACATAAGGTAGCTTACCCAGCATCACACATCTGGTATGTGTCAAGCGAAGAACTTAAGTCTTCCTGAATCCTAAACCAGCTCTTCATCCACTATGCCAGGGTGCCTGTCTACATTTATCCCTACTTAATTTCACATTACCACATATCATTCACCGTCATTCACGTTTACCAAGATTGTTGGGAATGCTGACCTTGGTATCTATCACATTAGCTACCCCTCTCAACCACAAGTTTTATAAGCGTGGCTGGGTGGGGCAGTAGATAGAGCTCTGAGCTTGGAGTCAGGAAGACCTAAGTTCAAACCCTCCTCAGACATTTACTATCTGTGTTACCCTGGGCAGATCATTTAGCTTCTGTCTGCCTCAATTTCCTCATCTGTAAAGTGGGGATCATAATAGCACATTGTAAGTGCTTTAAAAATGTTTGTTCCCTTCCCAGTTAACAAAAACATTGAATACTACAGCCCTAGGGTATGCCACCTAAGACCTCTCCTTCAGTCTTCTTTTACCCTTTCATTGTTACTGTTTGGATTTGGACATTCAAACAGTCTGGATTCCACCTAATTAAACCATCATCTATAAAGAAGATACAGATAAGTAGTAGTTTGTCTGGGAGTAAAAAAGTCCTGGAGATTTTGGTGGATTTCAAATGCAATAAAGGGCCTCGATCTGACAAGGAAAGCAAAGAAATAATTGAATTAGTTCTTAAGAGAGCCGTGGTATCCTGAACTAGCTCCCACAAAACTCCTCCCTGGTCAGATCACCTCTGGAGTATAGTGGGTAGGTCTGGGCACCTTGTTTTGGAAAGGTGGATGAGAAAGGAAGATTAATCAGCAGGAGCATGTCCAGAGGAGGTCAACCAGGACGGTCAAGGTCCTTGAGACCATGTCAGGACCAGAAAAAGGGATTAGGGATATTTAGCCTGAGGAAGAACAGATTGGGGGGTGACAAAACAATTATTCTCGAGTATTTGAAGGGATTCCACCAAGAAGATAGAAGAGATTTGATCTGTTTTATTGCAGAGGGTAGGAATAGGAAGAATAGATGGGAGTCATAAAGTCAATTCATGCTTGACATAAAAAACTCCTCCTGTCCCTCCCTATACATTCATTCTGGTCAGCTTTTCCTGATTGCTCTTCAATCCATATCTTGGTCTGTCCTCCCATTCTACTGCCCCATCTGTGGCCCCATTCTCTTTTAAAAGCACTCAGCCTACAAAGACGTAGATTTCTGGATCAGACCAGCATGAACGTTGGTTTTGCTGGACGGCACATATATTGTAAGGGTTTTGCTTTTATTTTTTGTTATTTTTCTTTGAGGGGAGCAGTGGGAGAGATAATAAATAATAAAAAATTAATTATAAAATGAAATGAGCGTGATGCAAAAATAAAAGGCATGAATAACAATTAAATTTTTTCAATTTCATAGTATTGAGTGTTTTCCATCCTTTCTATTTACAGTTTTTATCAATGTGTATATTATTGTCCTAACTTTACTTACCTTGTTCTGTACCCATTCATACCAGCCTTCCCATTTTTAATTGCTCATATTTGTCATTTCTTATATCATAATCATATGTCATAACTGTATTCATGTCTAAATGGATACTCACATTGTTTCCAGTCCTTTGCCACCCCAAAAAGGGCTGCTATGAATATTGTGGTATGTCACCCACGACCCGAAAGAATCTCTTCTCATATGAGGTTTCCAGTTCTGAGACTCGAGTGGGCCTGGATTCATTTTGGGGGCATGCTGATCCCAAAGAAGGGAAATTCAGACTTTTCCCCCCATACTCTTATGTGTTACACCCCCAAACCAGACTAGAACTCCAGCGAACATATCTTAACATAAGATTTAGCTGTAGCTCATGTCCAGAAGGAACGAATATGTTCCCCTTTGAGAAAAGTACTCAGACCTCTAAAATCGATATCAAGTCTAGGAGAGTTCTTTATTTTCTCTACCATAAGAAAGAATGATTAAAACACAAAAGATTCATAAGCAAATTAACAAATACTTAAAACATGAATAATACATCACCCCCCAAAATAAAGTTAATTTGTAGACCTGCTAGGCAGCTATTTCACTCTTGCCTGACTTCTGTGGTTAACCCCTTGGTTGTCACACAAGGCTAAACCCACAACTAAGTGACGTTGGGACCTGTAAAAGTCTAGCCAGGAGAATCTAGAAGGAAAGGGATCAAATGTGGAGGATTCTAGAGACTGGTGGACAAGAAGGGGAGGAGGGAGGAAAACAAAAACAGTGCTGATTACAATTTTGAATACAGCTGAGGAGGAAATAGGGAACAAAGAAAAGGAATGAGAGTCAGAGTGCTAGAGAAATGGCCAAGTGCAAAGGTTTCTGGGAGCTCCCTATCCAGCACTGTTGGGCACATGGGCTGAGGGAAGTCCAAGACAGAAGTGGCTAAAGCAAAGAGGCCACCACTGCTCCTGAGTGTGGGAGCCAGCCTGGAACACTGCAGCCCTTTCCATACCCTTTCCCAACCAACTTCTAGAAGCCAGCAAGGGGATCGAGGAAAATCTGTTGCAGACAGGACAGTAGAGTCCAAAAAGGAAAGTTAGAGAAAGGCTTACTCTATTGATCCATTGGACTTTTCCCATAGCTGTGTCCCAACTGGTCACCTTCACCATCTCAGAGAAACAAAACTTATTGAACCATAAAGATAACATGGATAAATCTGCATTCATCAAGATAGAAGCTCATAGAAGAAGGAATGAACAAACATTGGAGAAACAGTCATCTCAATGGACAAGTGTGCACAACAAAGGAACTTGAGTTAAAAAAAAAATCCCCTAAGGAAAAGAAAGGTATTCGATGAATGCATTAAGGACTCCTGAAGCACCAACAGGACATTGAAGAACCCCCAGAGTGGTT